ACCCTCCCATTATCACCACTCTCACCACTGGTCCTGAAGGGATCATCTGTCCTGGATTCCCTGTGTTTCCAGTTCCTATCTGTACCAGTGTACAGAGGAATTGTCTTAAGGGGTCACGGCAGGAGGAAAGTTGAGAATCACTGATCTAGAGAGCTGGAATGCAGAAATGACCTCTTCTGGTCCTCCAAACCTTGATTTGAGGAGACAGCTGTGCTCGATGTTGGAACTTGTGGGCAGGCTGGGCATGGAGAACCACCACCACCACCACCCCACCACCCCAACTTGCTGTCATGTGGATTCTGACTCATAGAAACCCTGTATGACCTGATAGAACTGCCCCTGTGGGTTTCTGAGGCTCTCAGTCTATACGAGAGCAGAAAGCCTCATCTTTCCCCCTCAGAGCAGCTGGTGGATTTGAAACACCAACCTTGCTGCTCACAGCCCACCGGGGCATACAAACCAGAAAGCCACTGTCCCTGCCAGTCAGACTCACGCCCACTGCCACTGAGTCCATGGCAACTTGTAGCGACCTCCTCTAGCATTTCCAAGCCTGTAACTTTACAGGATCAGACAGCCTCGCCTTCCCTGCACTGGGCAGCTGATGGGTTTGAACTGCGGTCCCTGCAGTTAACAGCCCAACGCTTAGACCTACATGTCCATCATCCGCACCCAGGATGGGATCGTCAGCTAGCTCCAGCCTTAGAAATGTCTCTTTGTCCCTGCTCCTCTTCCCTCGCCCAGTGCTGAGCATCGGGGAAGGCGGCTTCTGGGAAGGCCAGGTCAAAGGTCGAGTTGGCTGGTTTCCCTCGGAGTGCCTGGAAGAGGTGGCTAACCGCTCTCAAGAAGGGAAGCAAGGTAAGGAAGGGACACCGCCCTACCCCCCCCCCATGTCTGCAGTGTACCCAAAGATCCGAATACCCCCTCTCTCCTTACCCTGCTATAGACGGAGGGGCTGGGAGATGGGTGGGTCTGTGGATTTTAAGATTCAGACTCCAATGTTGACCCTTGCCCTCCCTGTCCTGCAGAAAGCCGCAGTGACAAGGCAAAGAGGCTCTTCCGGCATTACACTGTGGGCTCCTATGACAGCTTTGATGCCCCAAGGTAAAGTTCCTTACATTCTCGGGGTCCCCCCCCCACTTCCACATACGTTCACACTCGCACCCTTACTTCCACCTGCTGGAGGGCTCCTGCCTCTGCTCTTTGGATCTGGGGGGGCGGGGGAGGGGGAGTCCCAGGCAGCTGGCAGCTGTCACACAACACACCCCTCCCTTGGGCATCATGGGCGGTAGTCACCGGTGGAGGGTGGGAAGAGACAGGGGAGGGACTAAGATGAGGGGAGACCTAGAGGGCCATACATGGGGACCCAAGAGTTGGTGAGGAGAGGGGGCAGAGGTTATGGCTGGGGGCAGGGGAGGCAGCAAGGTCACACATGGGATGGCACTGTGTGTCCAGGGGAGTGGGGAGGGGGCACGGCTGGGTGGGGAGTGGAGAGGGTCCACTCTTACCTTTCCCCTCACCCCCTGGCTGCTGGCTGATTTGTTTCGGAAGCTTGATGGATGGCATTGGCCCAGGGAGGTGAGAGCAGAGGGGAAGGGGTACTTGGTGGGGGGGGGTGCACACGTGTGTGCGCGTGCGTGCGTGCGCGCGTGCGCGCACAGAGGGGGCTGGGCTTGAGCTGAACTTCCTGGCACGGACTCCTCCAGCTCCCTCACGTGTTGGTGCCTGCGTGTCTCTGGTGGTGCGCACGAACCATGTCTGTGTGCATGCGTGGCTGGAGGGGCCCCCTCCCCCGCGTGGACCTACGTGCACTGTCCTCGGGTGTCTGTCCTGCTCTGGGTACGTGCGTGCTTTCTGGGGCCCTGCACACCTGTGTTTCTGGGAGTCTGTCTGTGGATGGGAGAATGTGGGCATCGTTGTGGGTGTGTGTACTGCCTATTGAGGACAGGTGGGTTTCTGCACATGCCTGCCTCACCCCCACCCCACCCCCGCATGTCTCTGTCCATGCGCAATACTCCATCAGAGCGCACCTTGGTACGATGTCCAAGTGCATGCACCCACACTTCAGAGCGCGCGCAAGCATTGGTATCTGTCTGATGGATCTGGAACTGGGGGCCTGGGGTGCTGGGGTGCAAGGCAGCGGGCTAGAGTCCCCTCTCGGAGATGGAAGAAACAGAGCTTGGTACGTCCAGAAAGACAGGTCTGAGGGCAGGAGGGCTGGTCATCCCAATTTGGTGTCTGAAAGATGACACCACCACCCCAATCCAGGGAAGGGTCACCTTCTCTTTAGCACCCTTCCATTAAATGTGTCCAAACCCTTGTGTCTGTGTTCTGGCCATGGAGGGCTTGGGGGGTGGGGGCCAGCGCGGAGGACAGGGGAAGGGGCCGGTGCCATCCTGCACCCCAGGGTCTAGGCACTTGACTGTTGTGCGTGTTGACTGGTATGTCTCTGGTTCTGGGCACCGGGTGAGTATCCTTTGGGGTGGGGTGGGGTGGGGGGATCTCCTCAACCTGAGTCTCCCAGCCTTTCAGCTTCGGCTACTGGCCTGGGATTCATTGTTGGTCCTCCTCCCCTCCTGCTCCCACGTGGCGTTCTATGGGGGGGCAGGTTTGAAGTACCCCCCCCCAGACTGTTTGAAGGCTATGGTTGTGCACCCCAATCCTCATTTCTCTCTCCCCATTGACCCTGCCATGTACCTTCTCCAGGGCGTGCGCCCCCTCTGCCTGGACGGGAGTGGAGATCGGGGGTTTCTCTCACTGCCCTCTGGCCCAGTTGAAGGTCCTGGCCTTCCTTTCTCAGCCCTTCTGGACTGTGTAGTGTATGTTGCGTATCGGGGTCTGTGCTGTCGGTGGGCTGCGAGTCCCCTCCTGGGACCTCTCTCTTTGGGCCTGCGCGCGCTCCGCCTCTCCGCCCCTGGGTCAGTCCGCGCGGTCCCCCACGCGGTCGCGAGGCCCATCTGTGAGAGGTTGTGCGTCCCTCTGCTCGCGCTCCCTCGATCTGCACCTGCGC